TGTGGATATTGGGATATCATTTGGACTAGAGAAATGGTGGCCAGATAGTAATCAAGAGACGGAAGTTAATTAACACTGATATGTGGGCCACATAGACATACAAACCAGTTACAAATACTTTGGTATCCCGTAATCATGATAAGGAGGCAAAGAAGACCACAAGATCCAAGTACCATGAAAGGATAAGATAAGTCTTGTAGAACTAGCTCAATGGGAAGAATAAGATCCATGCCATCAATATGTATGCCTTGCTAGCTATCAGATATCCTGCCAGTAGAGTGAGTTGGCCAAAGGAGGACATGGAAGCTTCCAATGTGAAGACTCAGAAGCTCCTCATGATGTAGAGGTTTCCACCTCAAGTCTAACACTCGGAGATTGTACACCAGCCGGAAAGAGAATTGGCAGTCTGGGGAATGTCAAAGCCACTGTCCTGGATCAAACCCAGAGCATCTATGGGTACATCAGTAAGATGACATCCAAAGATTAGCTGCTGAGAGAGTTCCTGAAGCAAAAATGGGAGGAAGACCAGGCAGAGGAAGTACCATGACAAGACAAGACACTGCGTGGGAGTGTATCCCTTGAAAAATAGCTGAAGTAGCAAACATTGGGAAATTCTACAGTGGCTTGAAAGGGCTAGACTAAAAGACAGTGCTGAGACACTTACTATAGCAACACAAGAATAGGCATTAAGCACCAGATGCATAGGAGGAGGGGATCTACCACACAATACAGGACCCAAGGTCCAGAATATTTTTAAATAACTCAGGGCAGTGAACACACAAAATATTCTTTCTTCTACTTTCCCACAACAACCTGTGAGGTGAGCTGGGCTGAGAGAGTGACTGTCCAAAGTCACCCAGCCAATTTTCTGGGCTAAGACAGTACTAAAACAGTCTTTTGATTTCTAGCCTGGAGCCTTAACCACTAGACCAAACTGGCTCTATGAAACTATTAGACTATGTAGAGAGGATTGAAAGGCAGTCCCAACACATACTGGCAGGGTGTGAGATCAAGATAGGAACAGTATACACTGAACCAGTAGCTGGCATTTGTGTACAAGTCCAGTAGCGGGCATTTGTGTACAAGAATATCTGCACAGGGTATGGACTAGAGCTTCCCAAGTTAAGATGGTAGACTCCACAAAAGGTTGTGGAGAATAACAGGGATATGATCCTGTGGGACTTCAAGATCCAGATGGACAAGTAGGTATTTGTCAATCAACCAGAATTATGGTAGTAGACAAGGAGCAGAAGACAGCAGTGATGATTGATGTAACAGTGCCAAGTGATAGCAAAATCAGGAAGTAGCTGGAAACGTATCAGGATCTGAAGGAGGAACTGGAGAGGATGTGGAAAATAAAGGCCAAAGAGTCCCATTGGTGGAAGGAACACTTAAGGCTGTGATTCCTAAACTGGGAGAGTAGATCCAACAGATCCCAGGAAAAATGTCAAAGCTCTCTGTCCAGAAGAGTACAGTGCTAGGAATAGCTGCATGCATGCGCGCGTGCACACCCCACCCCCTCAGGAAGGAATCAGAGATAAAGAACAAGGGGATTCATTTTAGATTAGATTAGATTCATTTTCTGAGCTCAACCAAGCATAGCAATATTTGGCTGTACCTGAATTTCAGGAACAATGTGGAGAAATGCTAATCTACCTTTAGCTTCTGGTGCGGCAATTTGTCTTTGCAACCCTATTTTCAAGAGTTTCTGTCACTATTTCCTGTGTGACACTGACATCTTACATGAGATGAACATTGCACCACTGCCTTACACCAAGAAAAGTACTGGGACTTGGTCTTCTCTTTAAAACAAATGTTCTTTGCTGTCTACATTAAAACCAGGGATGGCTTCCACATGAGGTGTAGAACTTCAGACTTCAACCAGTAGTTGTTTAGATTGCAACAGTTATATTGGGGTTTGCCCATCCTGTTTCTTTTCAAACTATGGAACTATCAAATAACACAATCATCTACAGGGGCAGGTCAAGGTAGTCTGCTCTTCTAATTTTTTAAATAGTTAACAAAAGAATCACTTTTCAATGCATACCTTCCTTATTATCACTTTCTCTCTGTTTAAGTCTTATCCTTTTATTAATGCTATTTTACAGCTCTACTTTTAACATAAATATTTAACTGGCTCTTGAAGAATTGTATACCAGCATTTTCAGAATTAAGTTACAGAAACCACAAAATATGTCTTTCTGGCAAAGTTATTTTAATAATCTGCAGTTTTGTCCTCAAAAACATCCTGGCAATTTTTTATACAACATACAAACTGAACATGTAAAGCAGTTGCAAGTGATTAAATATAAATTAAACACTTATGCGAAAAAAAAGGCTCCTCTGGGCAATTCCACATTTTTTACCTGTGCATACCACCTGTAAGGAGAATACAAGGAGGGAAAAAGCAATGAAGCATGGCAAGGGAATTATATATCCATACGTTGCTTTTTAGCAATGTTAGAGTCACATCGGCAATTTCCCACTGAAAGTACCTGGAGGCAAAATGAAGCTCTGGTTGATTCATTGGCAAACCACAGGAGGCATGAAACAGTAAAAGGCAGATGTGTGTATTTGTTTCCTATGCTCAAATGGGCCTAATTTTCTCACAGCTTTGGTCTCTAATCCTGAATGTTGAGGATTATAAGGGGAGGAGACAGTTTACTACCACAGTGTGAAAATGCATCTTTGTACCTCTATTTGTAACGGGCAGGGCATCTCAATTTTTTACTCTTGTGGCTTAAGCCAGGTTCTTTCTCAATATCCAACATGTTTTCCATTCTTGCAGTTTATTTTTTGTTTCAAGTCCCCCGTGCAAACTTTACAGTGCTGATTTGGCTTCCCAGTATGTGCTGGCCCGGGATGAGGTGAAAGCCCAACACGTTTGGGGTGCCCAGTTGGGGCGAAGTAGCCACACTCCCTACTCTCCTGCAAAGCATCTTTTGGGACAGATAGCAGCTGGGAAAGTGCCCTGACCTTTCCCACTTCTAATGGACTGAGCCAGCCCCAGTGACCAGTAGCCAGAGGCTCCTCTTCAGCTCCTTCTTCCACATGCCTGGGCAATCCGGGCTCTCCAGGGAAACGCTGTAGGTGATTATGCTAATCCCCCTTCCCTCTCCCACCAAGCAATAGGCAGAAATTAAGCGCTTGCTCCATTCCTGCCAAGAAAAGCCATGTTTCGCTGGTCAGGCCCCCTGTTCCCAATGCATCGACTCCAGCCCCCCCCCTCCCTGCCCAGCAGAAGGAATGTTTAATCCAGCCAGCCTATTCCAGTCACGGACAGGAGCAGGAACTGTCTGATCTGCCTCTGAGAAGAGGTCAGGCCGCCCTGGCGTGTAGGAGAAGGGGGGGGAGGGCCTTGCGCCCCAGGAGGCTCCAGAGTGGAGGGAGAGAAGGGAAGGGAAGGGTGCAGAGGCTTCCAAAAGCAAGGATAACAGATTTATGTACAGGAGTGGGGAAGGGATGCTGGACCTGGGACAAAATCTTAACAAATCATTGGAGGTGAGTGGGAGGAGAGGAGAAGGAGATAGAAGCCATACCACACTAGTTGTTTCTAGCTAAATGTAAATAAAGGCCAGGATATTGAGGAAACAGAATGGGGATTGTGGAACCATGGACAAGCAAGGGGGATGGGGAGTCAGGACTAAAGAGTTTGAGGAGTTGATTTCCTGTGGCGTCCCCAGCCTGACCAAGTACTGTATGTCAACATTTCCCAACTGGGGTGTTGCACTTCTGCCACGTTTGGAGGACACCTTGTAGAAGAAGGCTGAGTTACAGCATATTTATCTGGGCTGCAATTTCCTAGGAAACTGCTGAACGATGTCCCTGGACTTTGTGCAGATTTGCCCTACACCAGTGGTTCTCAACCTTTTTAATGCCGCGACCCCAACCGGTCATAAGTCAAGGACTAAACCGGTCGTAAGTCGAGGACTACCCAACCGGTCGTAAGTCGAGGACTTTCCCTGCCCGGGAGCGCCGCGCATGCATGGTTCCGCCCCCTGTGCCGGCCGAGGCGTAGCTGGCAAGCGGCAGAGACGGAGCAGGCCGACCACCAGCTGGCCCAGCTCAAGGGAGGTAAGGCACCCGCCGGAAAAGGGGAAAAAAATGGCGGACAGCCTTGCTTGGCGACCCCCGTGAAATGGTTGATCGACCCCAAATGGGGTCACGACCCATAGGTTGAGAACCGCTGCCCTACACTTAGGTTTGTCAGAGAAAAGTGCTAGTGTGTGTTCAGAAGCATGGAGTATCAGTAGCCAAAACATTCCCAATGAGTGACAGCACCTTGGAGATCAAGTAGGCCAATTTTACTCTAGACAAGTGAAAGCTGGCATTCGGGGGGGTCCTTTGGTTACTAAATAGGGTCCTATTGCAGATTCCACAGAAGTCCCCTCACAAAACACCACTTGCCTCACAATGCCAGATGTATAATAGTTTCTTACTAAAAAGCTAACAAAGCCCAAACTGAGATACTCCTTCTTGTATAATCCCACTGAGTTTTCAGAGTTAAATTGCCTAGTTGGGCCTCTGGTGGCCTGTTGCTTAAGGACATACGAGCAGCCCAGACCACAAAGGCAACCTCAGCAAAAACCTTGGCATAAACAGGACCTCCAAGGCCTGGTTTTGCTTTGCTACAGATGCAGCAGCTGCAGTTTGATCAATTCAGGGAGCTCAGCCTGCTCCAATTCCGTTTTGAGGCTAGAATATTAACTCCCTGCCCTTTTCATAGACTCTGGAGCTTTAGAGGCTGGAATTTTGTCAGGGAAGTTCAGGATGTGGATGCAAGAGCATTGACACACAGCTGAAAGTTATCTAGCATGCTTAGCTGAACAGCATAAACAAAAACAGGTAATGTACGCAAGTGGCATAAAAGCACGTTCAGAGCAACCACGTGAATTAGATGTCAACTGCCACAGTCTCATGCAAAGCTTCACACAGGCACCTGTGATCTATTATAAGTGTGCATTGTAAATATTTTGTTAGAGCCAAGAAATATGGCAAGATACTACTGTGTGTCACTTTATTCTTTCTTTATTCAATTTAATCCATCCATAATCTTCTGACTTTCGTTGGTTACACTATCACAGTAAAAACAGCAACGGAATTAAAACAAGCTGTCCAAATCGCAAAAACCAAAACTGAAATAGGAGACAAAAAAAGGGTTCTATTTAAAAAAAAAGTCATTTTTAATAACTTCCTAAAACCTATCAAGGAGGGGCCCAATTTGATTTCAGTCGGGAGCCATTCTGTAGCATTGGCATAGCTATGGAGAAGCTGTGGCTCCCTTGATATCTCGGAAACGTGGGACCAAAAGCAGCTCCTCCCTACTTGATCTCACAGGCTGGGCTCAATCTGCTTGGAGGAGGTGGAGGTCTGGTGGCGTTTATTATTAGCACAGGTAGAGTAGAACTTGCAGACCTAAGGAAGTAAGACAAGTTTGGAAATGTTGGTTATCTGTTAATAAATTCAGGGAAAGGAGAATCAATCCAACAGCAACAGCAGATACAATTATCTATGCCTTGTGGGAAAATACTCATTTCATTTTGGTTAGAGTGGATGCATTTGACTTAATTGCTCTTTCCAGATTCAAATGTGGCCAGCAGTTTTATTTTAATTCAACTTCTGAAAGGTTTCTGATAGAAGAGAATATTTGTAGCTCAGGGTTGAACTGTAGGGTCCCTTGGTGCTCTCTGATCTTGGTTGTTTTCTTGCAGATGTTTCATTACCAAATTAATTAACATCATCATTGCAAAAGGGGGTGCTGTTTGCTCCCATTTTATACATTAGTGGCTTGCCTTGTCAGTGTTGGTGAGAAAGGTTTTAGTGTTTCCTTGATTAGGCTGTTGTTTACTGTTAGCTTGTTTGTCTGAGTTGGCAATTCCTTGATTGGGGTATTGTTTACTTCTTGATTGTTGGTCTAGTGTTAATCTTGGTGTTACTCTCTGCTCAGCCAGGTGTTGATTGCTGGTGAGGAAGTATTTTGGTCTTTTTCTACGTTGGTGTCTACACTGAACAGTATCTTTACGCTGAGAGTAGGGAACATTACTTTGGCAGAGATATGCAAGCAGAAGGTTAAAGCTTATTTTAAATTCATAACAGAGATAATATTTGGCTCCGGCATCTTCCTAATTCACTGAACCAATGTAGTTGGAGGTATTGCAACATTATCTAACTCGCATGATTCCCCGTATTATAGCCAATCTTGATAAAAGTGCTTTTAGCCTTTCCATGGAATTGATTTCTTGGTCTGGCCTACCTAGCAGGATTGACACTGAATGTTCCTTTTTCACTGAATAGCACTGACACTTTCAATTAACTCCCCATTATGATGATTATGATTTGAAGATCGAGATTCTTTTGGATGCTATTGGCAGCTAATTGGAATTTTCATTGTCCTGACACTTGATGTCACTATAAATTTTGGTCTTTCAATTGATCACCTTCCCTCCTGATAATTCATGAATTATTTTAAGGAGGTACTAGTCCAAAAGTAATTCTTGGGATCCTGTTTATTTCTTTATCTTAGACTTAAGTCCCAGAAAGCACCTCCCAAGAACAAGTTTGGCACAGTGGTTAATGCACTGAATTAGGAGCAAAAAGACCCAGGTTCTAGTCGTTTTTTTATGCAAAAAAAAAAAAAAGCCAGCTGGGTGGCAACCCCCCTCCCCACATTCTGGACAAAGGAGCTGGCAAAGCACTTCTGAGAATATTGCCAAGAAACCGCATGGATGGCTTTGTTGCTTTTTGCCTACCCAAATAAACATTGCTCGCAAGAGAGTTTTGCTCACGAATTGATTATGTCAACTTATTGTGACTCTCTAATCAGAGATTTGCCGCATTAACACATGAAAGTGAAATAATAATAATGGGCAAATTCTGTCTTCCTACAGAATGGAAAAACGTATGCTTTGAAGCTAATTGTTAGTGCTCTAAATTCTTGTGCCCTAGAATAGCCAGTCAGGGAGGTAAAAAAGGATAAATGCAACCCAGGACATAATGTTAAATAGCATCTAGAAGCTTGCTCAAGACCTAAAAGTTATTGAATTAATTGGAAACTAATATTGCTATAAGCAGTGGATGTAAGGGGAGGCCTGCAAAGAAATTCAGGATTGACACAATTCACTTCAAACCCCCCCCCCACAAACTTCTAAAAATTAGAAAAAGTGGTAAATATAAAGTTGAAAGGGAGATTAAAAAAAGGAATTTCTCTCCACAATCCTTGGAGTTTATTCAAAATGCTAACAATGGAATCTGTTAGTAAATATACTAAGCTAAAGTGAGGTATTGCAAAATCCAAGGGGCTAATGAACAGCTTAGCAATGCATTAAAGCAAAGAGTTCTTCCTTCAGCTCCTGTTGAAAGTAGGATATACATCCAATAAATAAGGAAGAAAGAATGCATGGCCGAATGAGAAGAACCGAAAGAAACAAGCTGATAAAATAAAAGATGCAGGAAGAATTTGAAGAGCATGAAGAAACTAAGAGAAAGAACAACAGGAATTCAAATATATTTGGAATAGGAAACTGAAAAAAAAGGCTATTGGATAATTAGGGAAGGTGGGAGGGAGGTTAAATATGTATGCTAAAGGATAATAGGAAAACAGCAAGGAAAGAGAATTCAGTCTTTACATCTGACACCAATGATGAGGGTGTGTAGGACAAATAGGTATGCCTAAACTGGCTTGCTAGAAGGAAGTTGAGCAATTTGAGGTAAATAGAAGTAATAAAATATTTAAATAGATGTCAAATTAACACACTGAAAATAAATAATCCTCGGATGAAAAAGTGCCTGCTAAATAGTTTTCTAAAATTTAAATACATGAACCCAATTTTTAAAAAGGAATTGAGTAATATAAAAAACTATAAAACAATTTAATATCTGTTCTTAGAAAAATTGGTGCAGGTATTATTAAATACTGGAAATAAACAGACAAAATCTTTGTGGTCACCAGAAATCAACATTAACTTGATGACACATAATCGGCCAATCAAAAATAAACAGAAGCCTGAGCTTTGATGGAAAGGAACTCCTTTGATTTCTGCAAAGGTAAGACTTGTCTCTGAGACCTTCCCTGAACGTATTATGGGATAAGAAGAAGAGTTTGTTTATGGATTGGTGATTGGTTAAAAGTAGGAAACAGAGCATAGAAATGTGTAAGTAGACAATTTTCACAGTGGCAAGGTGTGCATAGCAGGATCTTTTGTGTGTGGCGACCAATATTTTTTAACTTGTACAGAAACAATCTGTAGAGCAGTGAAGTGGCCAAGTTTGTTTATAATATCAAAATGTTCATTTGACATTATAAACACATTTGATATTATAATAAAAAAGAGATTTCTAACAAGAACTTGGAACTCCAAAATAAAAAAAGAGCTCTCAGAAGATATATCCACAATAGGAAATGGTTTTGGATGCAATCAAGCACTGCTAAGAGCTCAGGTTTGAGACTACACAGTGGCAATCAAAGTAGACAAGTATAAATTCATATTTGCTGCATCTGCAGTTTTGTGCCTGGCAGCCCTGTTTAGAGTAACCTAGGTAACTTTAGGGAGAAAAATGCCTCTCATATTCATTCTACTCTAGATGCCAGTTGGACAATCTAAAGTGATAGTGAGGCAGTGTCTTGTGTAGGATTCTTTTGAGCCTGTTGAATCTGAATCTGATGGACAGAGTTGCTGTTTCCCAGTAAACATCTGGGCAATCCAAGAATATTGGTCCCTGTATTATAACCCTGGGTTACAATCCTCTCCAAAGAGTTGGTTTGTAACCCGGGAGATATTGTAGTGTAGACTCTTGGAGCTTCATGAATCAGAGGTGGAAGCTGTGGATAGAGAAGCCTTTGCCTGACATCAGCTGATGCGCCAGTTACTATCCTACCTCAACCAGAATGACATGACAAGTTACTACTTATCTGATAATCTGTTAAGACTACTGCAATGCACTCTGTGGAGGTTGGCTTTGGCGATCACCCAGAAGCTACAACCTAATGCAAAGTACAGCTGCAAGATTGCTGATGGATTTACCTTGTCAGTCTAGAATAACACCTATTTCAGATTGGTTACCAGTAGGCTACCAGGCCCATTAAAGGTGCTGATCATTACTTATGAAGTCCTTTAGGGCACAGCAGTGACTTATATTAGGCAACGCCTTGCCAGAATTGTATCTACCATCTGCCCATCTAGGGAGGATGTTGAGGATCTCCCCTTTCTGAGAATAATTGGACATGAAACAGGCAACGGACCTTCTCAGTGGTGGCCCTTACCTTATGGGATATCTTACTACTTACTACTATGGCCACTATCAAATCTTTTAGGAAGCAAGTTTAATCTAGCAAGTTTTTAACCTTACGTTCTGTTCAAGTGACCATCATATTTACTTGATTTTTAAATTATATTTTTGAAACATTTTACATTGTCCAGGAATTGTATGGATTCAATTAAATATTGCTATGTAGACAAGGAAGGAAGTAAATACAGTTCTGTGTAAAGAGGAACGAAATGATGCATGTTGGCACAAAGCACAAACAATTCCAATCTTTTTATCTGAGCTAGCAGTGACTGATTAAGAGAGGCATGTGGAGTTATGGTAGTTATCTCAATAAAAATGTCAACTTGGTGTGCAGCTACTGAATAAAGGCAGATTCCGTGCCTGATATCATTAAGAAGGGAATAGAACATAAATCTAATATAATAATGTTTTTATAGAAATCACATTTGTGAGTGTTGTATGCAGTTCTGGTCACTGCACTTTAAAATAGGGAGTATGCATCAATGTCAAAAATAACTGTATTTGAAAAACTATCTGATACAGAATTTAACTCAACTTGGTAACATTCATGGATTATAATTTCACATATGGGTTTCTACTGCATTGGAAGCTTGGATTTCTTGTAATATAAGGTTTTCGGATCTAAACTTTTCCTTGATTTGGTAAATAAGAATTTAGACAAAAAATCTTTGTAATTCTTTGACTTATGATTTATATTAGACTAGTTATTCATATTGTATATTACCTTGATAAATGGAATATTCTAAAGTTCTACATTCATATAAGAGTTTAATATGCAGCACTGATCTGAGATTACCTTAATTTTTTAATTTAACCTTATGCCAATGTCATTTTATGACACTGTAAGCCATCCAGGGTTGCTTGATAGTGAAATGGGTGACATTGATAAACAAATAAGTAAAATGCTTGTAAATCTGTATTTTTGCCATGTTTTTCTTACTTTCCTGCTTTTTTCCTTCATTGTGTTTTTAAATAATTATCAAAAAGAATGTTATATAGAAAGTTGCAAAAAATGGCAACTAAAATGAGGTGGAATAGCTCCTCTATCAGAAAAGCCTACAGCAACAAGGGCTGTTTTGCTTAGATATTGAGTAAGAGGAGCTACTGTATATTAAATCATATGGGCATAA